TGAGAGAGAGAGAGAGAGAGAGAGAGAGAGAGAGAGAGAGAGAGAGAGAGAAAGAGAGAGAGAAGATGAACAAATAAGGTAAAAAGAATTTAGGTGACTAAATGCCTATTAATGAAGGTATACATCCTTTATACTATACATGTCTGAAGTGTCAATTTTTCTAAAACAAAAAGTTATGGGGTAAAATAAAGTACCAAAAAAAGCAAAAGGAGAACTCCCACCTTTTGCAAATCTTCCCTAAGTTGTCTAATATGAATCACCTGTTTGCTCATTCAATCAGCCGCCAGGTGCCTGTGCCTACACTAGAACAGGCCTGGAAATCTGCATGGGATTCCAGATACCAGATGATCTGATAATCATCATCGAGGCCAGGAAACTCTAATTAGCTGAGCACCTACTATGTGCCAGATATCATCTAGGCCCTTTCCATTATTTAATTTCATCTTCTCAACAACTCTCATGAAGTGAGCACTCTTCTGTGGCCATTTTATGGCAAAATAAATGAAGGCTCAAAGAGAATAAGTAACATGATTGAAGACACAGCTATTAAATGGCAGGATCTGGCTTAGTTTTTTTTTTTTTTTAAGCCTCATTATGTAATGAAATAAAATGGACCTTCAAAAAGAATCATGATCTTGAGGGGCCCCTCCCTGCAATCCCAGGGTTCAGTTGTTTGGGGTAGGGACCAAACAACTAATATTTCTTCAGGAAATATTAGCAGGGGCTTAGAGTCCCTGGGAAAAGTGTGTCTAAGTTGGGGACCTTGTTGAATTTAGGTGTTGACTCAGGGATCTGTGCTGGGCCCTGACCCTAAACAAGCTCCCTAGTGTTGCTGATGCTGCTGGTCCAGGATCACACTTTGGACAGTGAGACACTGAGTGTCGTGGGAATGTTGCAGGCTTTCTTGGATCCACTGGGAAGATAAGCAAATGACTTCTGAGGTTCTGTATATAACTTTCTTCTGCAAAGTGCAGCTTCTTTTTTTTCTAATTGATTTTTCAATTAGAAAAAATTTTATTGACAGATATGCCTAATTGACTTTTTATTGATTCTTTTTAATTATATCTAACATTAGGACACATTTTCACATAATCACAAAATCATGGAATATAACTTGCTCTAGTTCAGCCTCCAGCACCTCCCCCTCCTCCCTTCCTCTGCTCCCCTCCAGCTACTGATATTTCTGCAGTTTATTTATAGTTTTTTATAGCGTCTCATGGATATACTTGATGTTGGGATCCTGTGGTGTATTCATGTATGCATGTCAGATTGATTCCACTGTCTCTTCCCTTTCCCAGTTTCTCCTTCCTCCCGCTCCATTCCCTTTGTCTAACTACTGATCTTTCCTTGATTTTAATGAAATTACCTCTCCCTTTTTTTTCTTTCTCTCTCTTTCTTTCTCCCCTCTACCCCACCCCATATTTTGGATCAGCTTCCACATATTAGAGAAAAATTCGACCTCTGGCTCTTTTCACTTAGCATGATAGTCTCCAGTTCCATTCATTTACCAGCAAATGCCATAATTTCATTCGTCTTTAAGGCTGAGTAATATTCCATTGTGTATATATACCACATCTGACTTCAGGAAAGAACACAGGAAGAGCAGTTGCGGTTGCACTTGTCTCCATTTACCAAGAAAGCAAACAGCCCCAGGACCCCCTCCTATATCCAGCAAACTTCCTCTTATTGGCTAAATTAGCTTTGCCCTGATTAGCTTGAACCAATCAGGATCCATCATTGGTTTCTGGACACATGACTTTGCTGGACACAATGGTGTTCTGTTAGCCCAGAAGCAAGATGGGAATGATGTCTGATCCCTGCACCCTTTGAGATAGGAGCCAAGAACTTCAAACACTGCAGTGTCTATTCATCATCTTCCACCCACTGGGGAGCCTCTCCAATAAAGGTTAAGGCTGCCATCTTCCCTTCATTCAACAAATATTTATTGAGCACCCACTATGTGTCCAGCACTTTTTTGGGCATTAGAAATGCATAACTCCAACAGATCCTACAAATGCTGTGTAACCTAAAACACTTGCAAACAGAGGACACCCTGGATGAGTGGCCAGTGAAGGGGCAGATGCAGCTAGGTGTCTGCAAAGAACCTACTATAAAGTAACACTGTGGGGCTGTCTGTGTTCTGTAGCTGGAATGGGTGACACAGACTTGTCTCTTGATCAGATGGTTAAGGAGCTTGCACTTGTAGCACCTCTGGGCAATATCATCCACATGTCCTTTCACATACAGAGACCCCCCGGGCAACAGGGTACCTCCTTCTGCTCCATTTTTCAGCTGGGAAAACCAGGTGTCAGCCAGGTAAGGAACTGTCTTGTAATCACATAGATCATGCATGATGGCGGAATTCAAACCCACATCTGTCTGGTTTCAGAGCTTGTCTTGTTCCACTGAATGGGACTGCCTGTCCTAAAGCATCACACATCCATATGTGAGGCAAAACTCCCTTTAAAACTGAACTTGGGCCAGAACTGGCTTCCTGAACATGTGGAGTTGATCACGGCAGACTTCGTTGTTGATTATTGTGGCTTCACAGAGATTCTCTCACTCTGAGACTCAGGACAAATGGGCCCCACACTCCTGTGACATTTACACATACACCCATTTCTTCCAGGGAAGATGCTCCAAGGAGCCACCTTTACTTGTCTGTCCTGCTTAACATGTACATTCTTTTTTCAAAGCCCAGGGTCAATTCTAATTGGAAGCTAACCAAAGGAGGAAGGGGGACAAGTGTACTGGGACCCAAA